AAGCTGCCCAAATGTTTGAATATTTCCCTAATCCCTAACCTTTTCACTTATGTAATCATATCTCTCTTTCATTTTCATATAATATTACACAAATCCAAGCGGAAAGAACCCACCAATAAATTCCTTGTATTTTAAGGAAGAAACTTCATCATCAAAGCCCAAAACTCAACCTACCCAGTGCTAGAAAATAACAAAAAGCTATAAAATAAGGAAAAGATAAGATAAATTAACTAATATCAACAATGACCAAAATATATATGGGAAATACTATTCGGACAACCTTTTTGTCCCACCTTTTTGTACAATTTGATGTGTCATTAAAATGATTGATTTTTTTAATTTACATAAGATCCGTGATATTGAATACATCTATTCATTTAATGACATATGAAAGTTATATAAAAAAGTGAGATAAAAATATTATCCCAATAGCACCACCCAATATATATATATATATATAAACTAATAATTATATAACACTTTCCAAACTTTTATAAAGTAAGGAATCTCAATGCTCTAGATTGACCTAACATGTTTCAGTTTCTTTTTCTTTAATTTTTTCCTCTTATTATTTTTTTTTTAAGTGGATCAACAACTCTAGAATAGACAAAGAATCAAAATAAATGCATGCATCAGCTCACTTCCAAAAAAACCACCACCACAAAAGCCAACTCATATAATCTCTTGTGTCATAACTACTGTCTATTGGTACTACTTACCCTACAAAATATGTACTTAATTTTGCTACCAATGTTTGGTATTGTTGAGCACTAATTTGATCATCACTCAATCCAGTAGTTTAATTTAATATATAGATTGAGGATAAGAATGCCTTAAACAAAATCCATTATTCAAAGTAGATACTTTGGACTTTGCCTCTCTTTTCTATTGAGAGAAAGACGTATGCCTCTAATTAATCCCCATATAATAACCCCTAAAACTGTGTCCAAAATCCATTTCAAAATTGGCAGAAACTTGATAATCATATCAAAAGAGATGAAGAAAGTTGTGGAAAAGGAAGAACATTCACAATCCATTTTCTAGAATTGAGTAGAAAGAACATTGACGCACCATAGAAAAAAAAATGAGAAAGAGATGATCATGATGATAAGGAGAACAAAGATTGACAAAAACACAAACTTAAAATTACGTTCAAGAGCAATAAAAAGAAAATACAAAAGGAATTCACAAAAGACACCCTTATCCCCATCCACAAATAAGTTTTCATTTACAATTCAAATATACGATATATGGCTTCCTCCCACACCCTAACCGTTGCCGGGCAAGGAGAAAATATTGCAGCAGGAAACCCTAAACAGACCCACGCTCTTCATGTTATTATAGTGAAAAACCCATCTTAATAGTGATAGATTTAAGCGTTGCTCCTGAAGGATCCCAGGGCTTTAATGGCGGCTGCCCGGAGAATGAATTGGTGGTACAAGGCGGCAATGGCGGCTCCCACGAAGGGTCCCACCCAGAAGATCCACTGATCATCCCAGGCCTTCTTTTTGTTGAAGATCACAGCGGCTCCCAAACTCCTTGCCGGGTTGATGCCGGTTCCGGTGATCGGGATTGTGGCAAGGTGGACCATGAAGACGGCGAACCCAATAGGAAGTGGTGCCAAAACCTTGAATATTTTTAATAAAAATAAAAATAAATATCATTAATATTCGCCGTTAGTTAGTTGATCATGTGATGCCATGTAGGACCCATCCCAAGATCAACGGCCAAAAAAATTAAAGTCAGAATTAGAAGAATTAATTGAAGTACCTATGGAAAAGTTGTAACATTCGAAAAGCAAAAGTAAGTGAGAAAATGACCAGAAACCTAACGAGAGAATAAAGTGGAGAATATAATTAAAGGGGGGTGACGTAGAATGGGGACAAACTCCTTCTAGCCCTTAAAGTTTTTCTCAAATTTTTAATTAATCCCTAACGTTTTTTCTATTATTGAGTCCTATTACTTTCATAGATTTACTATATAGATCAACTATGAAATTTATTTTCTTTTTTGAATCAAAACTTTTATTTAATAAAGATTATTGTTAAATTACAAAAAAAATATACTAAAAAAAAAAAAGATAAGGCATCCTTC